TTAAAATTGAAGACAAATGGGAAACTAAATAAAAAATTAAAAAAATTTAATGACAAGAAATATCATCATAGTAAACTGCAAATCTTGATGATAAACATATTTATAGTCATAATAATATAAACAATGACTTTAAACAACAGCATAATATAACCAAATGGGAGGATAAAAGGAAAGGAAGTTCAAGGCAGCATAAGCCCTATAGCAGAGTCATGTACTGTAGAAAATCAAAAGAAAATATCTAAAGTTGAAAAATATTATTGTGAAATATGGAACTAAATCTAAGAAATAGCTCAAATGGTTCCAGTGGGTACAGAACTGAGAGGGCAAAAGTTATTACAAAGATGAAACAGGGGACTGGTGATTTCACTGTTAAGTCTTTTTATAAGGCAATTTTCTTTTTAACTGCACAGTTGTATTAAAGTCAAAAATTAATCTTTTAAAACAAATAAAACTAGGGGTATTCATATAACTTATGACTTTATGTGTATATATATTTTATTCTTCATTTTGTACATTTTTCCATCTTGATTGTATCCTCGTGGTCTTCCCACCACCATGTGCCATCACCACAGTCCCATGTGCTCTTTCTGCCCTAGTTTTGATCCTGTTACCCTCTGCTCCTCACAGAATGTCTCTGGTTTATAGTTGCTAGTTGGTTTAATTTATGATGTTTAATTCACTAATTCCACAAATACTATCTGGGTCCCAAGTAAGTGTGAGGTAATTTCTAGGTACTAGGACTATAACAGTAAATAAAACCTAGTTCTTCTTGCCTTAATGAAGTTATATACATAGAGAACAGATTAACACATTAATATATGCAATATCAGATAAACTGATGTTGAGAAAAAAAATAAAGTAAAAGCAGAGTATGATGGGAGGTTTTACTTAGGTAGGGTTTTCAGAAAAGAACTCTCTAAAAATAAGTAAGAAAGAAATAACCAAATAAAGTTATTGCAAAAATGTCCTTTTGCAATAAAGGACATGTAAAAAACAAAAATTAAGTTCAACCGAGAAATGCACTTTAAGTCTCTCTCTCATACTCCAAAGCAATGTATCACTCAAGAACCAACACCAAAAGTTCTCTATAGGAGCATTAAATTGTCAGGCATTACTCTTCTGATAACCTTAAATAGTCATTTCTTATTAAAGTGATTAGATATTTTTATGTTCCAATTTTTTCTTTCCATAGGCTAGGTAGGTACCACATATTTCAAATTCCATCATGTAGCTAAATGTTTTTTCTAAATGAAAAGCTCAATACATTAAGATTCCAAATTATCAAACTTATCACACTTAATCCTCATTCTTGCCCTAAAAGAAAAACCCAAAACCAATGGGAATAAGACACATTTAAAGAAACAATTTACAATGTGATTCAAGAGACAGAACCTGAGACTATTTGAATTACCTTTACATTGAGAACTGAGTACCTACAAGAGGCAGTAGACTGAAGAAACAATTTTATTCTAATATGGCTGTTACACAATAAAATCCTCAATTTAGTACTGATTTTAATGTCATTATCAAAGTATTGTACCACTGAAAAGTAAATTGAAGCTATTATTTTTATATAACAAAGAAAGGATAAGCAATTCTCTTAGAGCAAGTTTTATAGTTGAACACACCAAGAGAAAAATTCAATTAATTAAATTTCAATTAATAGTTGGCTTTAAAATTTTAAAGTTATTTAGAAAATTCTGGAAAAGCAGCCAAGTAGCTGTTATGCTAAGCTGTAGCACCAGGTATTAGGATGGCCCCCACCAAGCACTGCACTCCTTAACAGAGCACCAAGTTATATATAGCGAGAGCCACAATTTGGATTTGGGTTGGCTGACAACTTACTGGTGGTGAGTTTAACATCTCCAAAAAGAGAAAACAAACCCTAAGTACAGTAATGGTTAATTATTAACAACTCCTGTCAGTGAGAATTACCAGAATTACTTAAGTACCAATGACACATTTTTTAAAAGTTGTAATCTGCAAACTACACCAAAAGAAAATATCAGTTTAAAAAAAATTTTTTTATTGAAGTACTACTGGTTTATATAGTTGTTAGTATCTTGGAAGCAGAGGTCCTCCCCTCCAGGTGAGGTATAGTCACTGTGCCATAGCACACCCACCACCCAAAGGCCCTCACCATACCACTATACTTTCTCCCCAACCTATTCTTGCAAAACTATCACTGTCAAAAGTTTCTGATTTTACCAACAATAATTATCAGTCTATAAAAAAGACATAGCTGCACTCACATTTAAAAAGAAAAAGGTGATTTTTAAAGAAGATTGAAAAAAAAATACACTCCCTTATGAACAAGTGGCAAGAAAGTATTTTTAGCAAGTAGTTCATTAAATTATATAGATCCAAAGAGCAACACTGTTTAACCCCAGGTAAACTGTTCATCATCTATCTTAAGGTAAGAATGTTTATTTTTGGTATACTGGGGAACCAGATACCCAATGTATATAAACATCAGCATGTCTTAATGCTTTTTGTTCACTCAGTAATAATTCCCACGATCTTAGGAGGTAAAACCCATACAATGTCCTTAACCAAAACAAAAAACAAACAAACAAGCAAAAAAAAACTCATGTGAGAAGTTTTTACTACTTCAACTTTTAAATTAACATTAAACAGTGTTCTGTGACAGTGAGAGGAGACCGAGACCGACTACTTGCCCACTTACCTTTCAGGGTCCATCAGGGCATAGACTTGCCTGTCTTTTTCTTTGTTGTATCCTGAACTTCCTGGCAACTGATATTCAATAAATATGGTTAGAATGAATGAATGTGTGCATGAATGTGTGAATGACCTAAGGAGCAGGGCCGCTGGACAGAAGTTTTTTGTTTTGCGTTGCAAAAGATCAATTTCACCTATACTATGTACTCAATCACTACAAACTACTGTCTCAAATGAAATGACAACATAAGCTGAAAAAAGACAAGTACTAGGTATTTAAACACAGCACAGATACCTTACTCACATGTGTAATGAAAGTTTGCAAAATAAAAGATGCACAAGGTCAGTTTTTTAGTTTTTATCTTCCATACACACAGACAAAAGGAAAAGAGGTGAACGCTCAAAAATATGTCAGAAAACCATGCTGCAATCTTTACATCACAACACCATAATACTTTTCTTGCAATCTAGAATAATTTAGAATGTAAAAAATATTTCCAGAATCCCACGTAGTATTTTGAAGTCAAACTCCTCATCTTCCATGCAATGAAAGATGGACTAAAATAGAAAAAAGGTAGATCTAACGCCATTTAGAATTATTCTTATTTTTAAAAAGAAAAGTTTAAAATGAACTAATTACACTGAAATGGTTTACTCAGAAAGGCATCTAAATGTCCTTACATTTGCTCTTTAGCTTAAACTAACAACACAAATAATCTTCCAAATCTCTGAAGCTAGATGACAAGATTTATGCCCATGAAGCTTGATTTAGGGATTATTTTTACTAAGATAATACTGTTTAGATGAGTTCTTCCTAACTCTAAAGTCTGCAGCAAAATACTCAGCAGTAACAGTAACATACATTATATTTACAATTTACAGCACTTGTATAAGCATAATTATCTGGGTGGGTCAAGCGTCCAGGCTAGCAAACTATGATCTATGACTGTAACACCATGCATGCACAGATCAAGAAGTCTTCCAAAATTCTAATGGTCAACTTCAAAGGGACATGAAGAAGAGCCAATCTGAAGGTGAGAACAGAAAAACACCAAAATCAATCCAAACACTGATGCCAAAACAAAGCTCCTAGCAACTCCAAGCGTTGAAATAAAAAATCCAGAGCACACCAAAGATAAAGCTCAATTAATTGCTGCCTAGGTTTCCTGCCTTACGGTCTTTACACTGAGTATTAGGGTTTTGTTAGCTCTTTCTTAAACACAAATTTAGTGTTTCAATAGCCCTTCCTCCTCCACAGCTAACACCAGTGCCCTTTCTTCCTCCTCCCTTACCCCTCCCAGTTCAAACAAATTAACATTTGTACTAAGGTGCCTCCTATCAGCTCGCAGCTTCTTCCCAAACACGCCCACGTACACTGAAACCGGCCCGCCTCTACACAACACACAGCTACGGGGGAAAAAAGGCTCGAGGGGGGCAGGTGGGGTACAGTTTAGCTCCGCACAGGTTTACGGCTATTTTTTAGATATCAGAGCCTTGCTGGTGGCTCGGGTTTCTCCCAAATCACCTCAAAGCCTGGTGTTTATGAGCCTACCTAATCCCATACAGCACAGGAATTCCGGATATTTGCAGACAGAGATCCCCGCTTTGCAAGTGCTTCATCTGACCGGTCCAAAATCTCTCCTTTTTGCAATGCGCCCGCTCCCGGCGGTCCAAGCCGACCTCGCGGGGCCCCGCGGCCGGCTCCCCGCCCGCAGGATCAGCTCCTCCGGGTCCAAGGCTGGCAGGCGATTCGGGCTGCGGGGCGCTCCGCAACAGGTCACCCCGACCGCGAGTGCGCGGGGCCACGGCGGCGAATCGGCGGCCGGGCTCGGGGACGCAAGCGGGGCCACCGCCAGGGGAGGGGGTGTGGCCCGGCTCCGCGGACCCAGCTCCCGCTCGCCAACAGCTAGGCTGAGGTGCAGCCCCGGCCGGGCGGGTGGGGGCTGGGGTCGCCCTCCACTCCGGAGGGAGGGCGAGGCGAGGGGGCTCCGGGGGTCGCCGCGCCCGGGCCTCAGGACCTACACCCGGAGCGGGGACTTCACCTCAGGCTCCAGACTCCGAGAGCGAGTCGCCGAAGGAGGCGCGGCCCGAGAGCCCGGCGCCCTCCTCACTCAGCCGGGTCCTGCAGCCCCCTCCCCTCGCCGAGGGCGAGCAGCCAGGGGCCCGCAGCCGGATCAACACACCGCAGCGCCGGGGCCGCCGCCATTCGCCGCGCCGCCGGCGCCGCAGCTCCTAGCCGCCCGGGGGGCGCAGCGCACCCACCTTCCTTCCCCCGCAGCGCCCACCCAGCCCTGCACCAGGCCCGCCGCCAGAGCACCGACCTGAGCAGCAGCGGCGGTGCCTCCGAGGATGAAAAGACGACGCGGGCCTCGGGCTCCGCCGCCCCGCTGCCGCCGCCGCCGCCGCCGCCGCCGCCGCCGCCTAAGCCAGCGCGGGGCTACCCAAGCAGTAGGAGACTCTCATTCAGTGGCCGCCGCGGGGGAGGGGAGTGCGCTGGATCCACCCCGTCCGCGCTGGGGTTGGGGGAGGAGAAGGCGGAGGCGCGCGCCGTGCGGGCGGGGCGGAGTTGCGCTCGCGCATCAACCGAGCGCGCTCGCGCGGGCCCGAGCGCACAAGCCGGCGGGGTCTTCTCCGCGCTCGCCCGGCCAGCGGCTCCTCCGCCCAGCAGAGACCAACTGCCGCCGGGGGCCGGTGTCTGCCGCGCGCGCCGCCAGCCGCAGCACCTCGGTCGCGCGCCCGCCGGAGGGAGGGGCCCTGCTGGCCAAATCAGGGGGCTGGGAGGGGAGTGGAGGTCGACAGGTGGAGCACCCGCCGAGGCCCCCTCCCCTCCCGGCACCCGGCCCTCCCTGGCGAAATTCACGGAGGGGTCTGTCTCCTTTGGCGCCCGCCCCTCACCTTTCAAGCCAGAGAACAAAGTCTGGAAAGACTTGGCTCCCACATCAAATATCCTACCCGCGCCAGGGTGTTTTCAGATATCGTTAGGACAACTGAGGGGGCTTCCAAAGTGAGGAGCTTAAATTGTGGCGATCAATGCTCCCACACATTAGGACTGGGGAACTGTTAGAAGTAGAACTTTGTAAGTGTTGTGTAGTCTTGCGCGTGGCGTCAAGAGCAAATGATAAAAAATGTGGCACCCCCTGAGCTCCAGAGCAATGTCCATGTTAAAGCCCAAACCAGATAATGAAACTATTAAACATTTCCTGAGAAAGGAAAGGATGGCATAAATTTGGTATAAACGGTGGAAGGGTGTTGTATCAGAGAGTGCGCTACAAGGGGTGACCTACTTAAAATTAGCGTTTGATGCAGTGAGTGCTGGTGGAAGGTTATGCGGCCGTTAGATCATTTGGAAATGAATGATTATTTGATTACCTGCAGCTCTTTCTCTAGGCAAGATGCAGTAGAATGTGGAAGGAATAGTGTGTGTCAGCATTGGCTATAAACAAGAAAAGACCCAAAATTGTTCCCATTTGGTTTCTTTCCTCCTTTTTATAACCACCAAACAGAACTCATTCTTCTTGAATATTGAAGAATGCTAATTATTTCCTCCTTTGATAGCCCTGATAGCCTACCATTTTAGTGCAGAAAGCTAGAATGCCCTTTAAACCCCTTCTCTCAAATAGATAACGTCTTTAAAGGGCCTTTCCCAAAGGTAAGTTGAAAACAGACAACAAAGGATAGGTGAAGTTCATGATTTTTCATTTTTATTCCATTTTATTTCCAAGAAAGCCTTGAGTCATGATGAAATCACCGGGAGAAATAAAGAAATGAAAAGAAAAACAACTTTCAAATGAGAATAGATTTCAAATGAGAGTAGACTAAAAAAGAGAAAGGAAAATGAGATTTGGTGAAAAGGGAAATGTATTACAAATACAGGAAGTTTTCCCGTAGATGTTAATTGCTTCAAGTCTATAGAAACAACAGGCTGACTGAATTAGCGTTTGAAGGAAACCCTTTAGTTATTAAGCTGAGTAAATGTGTAGTCTTTGTTTTAAAGTGTTAGTAAAAAAGTGAGGAAAAGATATTGGCTAGGTGCCAACAATAATACCTTCAACACATGTACACTATTGTCACTGCCTTTAAGAGATGAGAAGCTGAGGAACAGGGAATTCCTTTTTGTAGAAATGTCTTGCAATTACTTTAAACTTGAATTAGTTTCATGAAAACAAATGAGCCTGAGTTCTTACATCTGCCAATAATTTTCACAGTTTACTGTAAGAGCAGTATAGTTTTCTTTTGGACTTTGAGGAGGAAAATTCATGTGATTCATGAAGCTGGGCCATGGATCCGCAAAAACTGAATTTCTGACCTACAATAATTACCCAAAATCTGTCTCTCCTATTGATAACAAGTAACATAATACATTTATTACCTTTAAAGTTATGTTAAATTCAAATTTCTCATCTAGGTAAGATTAAGAATTTGTGCAAAAAATACAGAAACAAACTCATTCTTGATGTCTTTTGTTGTTTTAATAGCTTGGGAATTATTTTAGAATGTTCATTATCCCAGTCATTGAGATGCAAATAAAAACAATAGTTCTTTTACACTTAAAGGTAACTAGCAGCATAATTTCTTTCCCAGAGCATCTTTTATCACTGTTAAATTTTGTAACTTGTCTTATGTATGCATTCTGTTTTTGCCAAATGACAAGAAATATGCAATCTTAGTATAACAGAAAGTACTAATGTATAAAATAGAAATGCTATTATATAAAATAGAAATCAATAAGAATTCAATATGCCTAAAAGTCATTACAGAGGAACACCTTATGAAACAGTTTTATTACTATCCATCAAAATTATTTTGAAGGCTTAAGCCAGGAACTGATTTAAATAGAGAACACATAGTTTCAAAGGCAAGAGACCTCCACTGCAAAAAACAAATCATGTCATTACAGCTGTCAAAACAAACAGGCATGGTAAGAAAGCTTACTAACTCTATTACAACAGACAGAATTTTAGTAGTAATACATACTTCTATTATTTGTCTAATCTTTAGCCTCTTCTTTCAAGAATATATAGTGATGGATATTTGGGGGAAACTACAGTTATGTTTGCATGCTCTGATTTAAAATATAGGCAAAGCAACATTTAAAAAAAATCACTTTGAGGGGGAGGGTGCAGTTTTTCTAAAAAACTGACACCAAAGTGCCAGGAGAGCCTGTCATGTCTCCCAAACAAGAGATATGCACAGATATTAAGATACCAAGTACAAAGATAATCACCTGTCCATTCAAATAGTGGTGTCAACTTTCTAAGGACTGGAGGCCTTAACTTGAGCTCTTCTCACAAGGGCAAAGCTAAGCAGTCTGTGGATCAGCAGGGATTTATTAATGATGATTAATGTTTTCCTAAAAACTCACTTGGGGAGATCAGTTAGTGTGTAAATATTTACAAGAACTAATAATTTTCAATATTAGCTCTAAAGACAGTCTCAGGAATACCTATCATTTATCTGATAGGATCAGGAGAGGGGACCATGAGGAAATGGTTATAACTAACTATCCTAAAACACTAGCTTTCATCTTGAAGCACCAGAAACAGCTTAATTTAAACCACTTGTATGCTTTTCTCCTCTGAAATATCAACAATTGCTGCACCTTAAACTAATAAAACACAGGGTAACTAACCTACCCTAATGACCCAGAGGTTAGCTTAATAAAAACAAAGTTATAATACCAAGTTGTCCCCAGGAGGTATTTACTCAGTAAAATGCAAAGGCCTTTGCTTATTTTCAGATTTTCATCTCTATTTTAAATAACTAAAGTTATCAAAAAGTGAGATTTTGCTTTCAATTGTATAAAAATTTTAGTCACTTCCCTTAACACTAAATAATAGGTGAGGCTCTTTGTCAATAATGTTTATCATGGTAATTTTCTTATATATCTTGCATTTAAAATTAAGTTAGACATATGAAAGTTTCTCAAACATTAAAAACAGATCTACCATATAATCCAGATCCAGCAATCCCCTACTAGAGATCTACCCAAGGATACAAAAACACTCAGTGCAAGGGATATATTTATTCACTCTTAAGTTCATTGCAGTACTATTTACAATAGGTAAGTTATGGAAACAACCTAGAAACCAGTAACAGATGAGTGGATAAAGATGTGGTATATATACATATTCAGCAATAAAAAAGATGAAAATTTGCCCTTTATACATGGATGAAACTGGAGCAAATAAGTCAGTAGAAAAATAACTCAGAAGGAGAAAAACAAATATCAAATGATTTAATTCATGTGAAATATAAAGAAACAAAGCAAAGGAACAGACAAAACCAAAACAAACAAACCGTTAAAACGTAACAAACTGTTAAAACATAACTATAGGGCCCTCCCTGGTGGTGCAGCAGGTTAAAGCGCAGCACTGAGAAGCTAAAATCACCTCAGCAAGAGTTCGATCCCCACCCTGAGGTGATCCACATGGTGCAGCAGACCTCTCCTGGCCTGCCCGCTGCTCTCCTCAGCAGTCTACTTCATCAGTTAGCCTGTTCTGCTCCCCACTCTTTCTTTGGTGGATCCTCTCACTGCCCCTGAACCTCTGGCCTGTACTCCAGCTCTGTATGCATAAATAAATAAATCTTTAAAAAAAAACAACATATAACTATAGAATTGAGGGGGAGTCTGGGCTTTGGAACAAAGCGGGAGAGGATTGTTAAGTTTTGGTGGTAGGTGTAGTCTGATAACATACATTTAAGGTGGGAGCCTATATCCCTAAAACATATAGTGTAAACCACCATTATCCCATCAAAATAATTTATTAAAAAAGGAATCAAATAAATATTAGACTAAAAATAGAAATGAATAAACCCATACTTTTAGAATAAGCAGAGAACAAGGGAGTACTCTTGTTTATAATGGAATGCTGAACATGAAGTGGTAAATGTGGAGCTGGGGCCTGGAAAATCATTATTTTCTAACCATAATTAATGGCAAAGAGTGATTAAGACCAGGCTCATCAATGATATTAAGTGTAGGATGAAATTTTGAGAAGCAACAGAATATTTGCATCATCTGAGAATTCCTCCTGTAGATTTCCTATTAATTACAACTAAGGAAAAGCAGTAATTAAGCCCTGGGAAAACTATACAAAACCTTGACCAGGTAATCAATATCAACATCATGAATGAAAGACAGATGGACAGTGTTTTTCTCAAAATGTGATTTCTAGAGGACACAGCATCTAATGAGGAAATGAGGAACTAGCAGATAAATCCCAAATGAGAAGTGTTCTATTTTTAGTGAAGTGCATGTATTTTTCAAAGATGTCAATGTCATATAGACAAAAGATTCATAATAGCTAAATGCAATATGAGATACTAGACTGGATCCTTTACCAGAGGGTGGAAACTCTATATTATTGGATTAATTGGAAAACAAATGGTAGAATGATTATAT